TGCGCGTTTGTGTGTTTGTGTGTGCGTGTGCGTGTGCGCGTGTGCGCGTGTGCGCGTGTGCGCGTGTGCGCGTGTGCGCGTGTGCACGTGTGTGCGTGTGTGCGTGTGCGCGTGTGCGCGTGTGCGCGTATGCGCGTGTGCGTTTGTGCGTGTGTGCGTGTGTGCGTGTGTGCGTGTGCGCGTGCGCGCGTGTGCGCGTGTGCGTGCGTGCGTGTGCGCGTGTGCACGTGTGCGCGTGTGCGCGTGTGCGCGTGTGCGCGTGTGCGCGTGTGCGCGTGTGCGTTTGTGCGTATGTGCGTGTGTGCGTGTGTGCGTGTGCGCGTGTGTGCGCGTGTGTGCGCGTGTGCGTGCGTGCGTGTGCGCGTGTGCGCGTGCGCGCGTGTGCGCGCGTGCGCGCGTGCGCGTGTGCGTGCGTGTGTGTGGGTGTGTGTGCGTGCGTTTGTGCGTGAGTGTGCGCGCGCGTGGCGCGCGGTGGCGGCGGTGGCGGCGGCGGTGGGGGGGCGGAGGCAATGTCGAGAAACTCATCCAAAGCGTGGTTCTTGACAACGCAAGCGCTTCTCGAAATTCCCTTTTGGGGGCGGGGGGAGGGGGCGCAAATTCGAAAACTCCTGCACGGTCTGGCGATCTGGAACCTGACGATGCAGGAGTCTCCCAGAATTCCCCGCGGTGTGTGTCTGTGTCTGTGTGAGTGTGACTGTGTGTGTGTCGTGTGTGGTGTGTGGTGTGTGGTGTGTGTGTGGCGGTGGTGGTGGTGGTGGTGGCGGGGTGTGGTGGTGGCGGCGGCAGTGGTGGCGGGGTGTGGTGGCGTGGAAGCTTGTAATGAGTGAGTGGGATAGTGAGTGAAGAAGTAATGAGTGGATCAGAGTGATCGAGGGAGTGTGAGGGAGCGCGTAGGTGATGATGATGTGGTGGTGGTGATGATGATGATGGTGATTATGTGAGTGCAAGAATGAATGAGTGACAACGAGAGGGAGGAGAGATCCTGCGGCGGAGGTGTGCACAAAAAACGAGAACCCACGTAGGATGTGGGGAAATACAAAATGCACGTGGCGGAAAAATGTGGATCGTGAGCGGGCGCTCCGCGACCACTTCGCATTGGTTTTTGACATGGATGGCGGGTGGTGTTGGCCATGTTTGTCCGCTGAGCGCTGCCCCAGAATCCCTATCCCAAAACTGTTGCAAACCAGTTTTCGCTTGCGCACGCCATACACAATGCTGACCACCCCGCCGCGACCTCGCACTTGCGTATGACAAGGACGGTAGGGAGGTCGACATGCACTGGCGCTCATGCCCACGCCTAGCGCACTCTGCACGCGTCGCCCGCGAGGCTCACCTAGCGCGGCTGGAGCATGTGGCACCACTTGGCGCACGTGCCGCATCTGGCGCACCAGGCGCACCTGGCACGCGTGGATCCTGCGGCCCCTCCTGTTCCCCAGCCCCCGACGTCGTCACCTCCCACAGAGTGGACGATCCCGAAGGTCTTGACTCCCCTGTCCAGGGCCTGGTTCATCCCGAGCTGTTTTTCGGCAGCCCCGCGGCCGAGCAAGGGACCCCAGAAGCATTTTAAAAATGTGCCGCAACCCTTTGGTTGCATGTCGACGACACCGGTCGCTTACCGTCCAGGACACCAATTGCAGCCTCGTGGCGAAGAGGATCTACGCCTGGGGCCTCCTCCCGCGTGCCCCCGCCGCGGCCGCCCTCCCCTTGTCCTCTTGTCTAGCGTGCCTCTGCCCAGCGTGGCCCGCCGGCTATGAAGGGGCCCCAGGACACACAAATAAATACACACAAATAAGAATATTCCCTATATTTTCCAATCTTTTCTGGGCTTCTGTCTTCCCCCCCACTTCCCACATTCTCCATATGTTCTGGGGATCGACGATTCCTTGTGTCTGTGTGTGTGTTTCCCCTCTTTAGGCTTCCCGAAGACGATGGCGCTCGCCGCGGACCAGGAGCTTCTCACGACGCGAGGGGGCATGGCTCTTCCTTGAAGGGGCCCCAGGACACACAAATAAATACACACAAATAAAAATATTCCTCATATTTTCGTATATTTTCTGGGTTTTCGTCTTCCCCCCCACTTCCCATATTTTCCCATATTTTCCGGGGAGTCGACGATTAATTGTGTCTGTGTGTTTCTTTCCCTCCTGACTCCTGCTCCCTCCTCCGCGCGACCGTGGGGAGCGATCTGTAGAACATCACGTCGACGGAGCGCATCTCCTTGCGCCGACGGCAGGGGCCGGCCTCTTCCGAGCGGGTGCAGCTCTGGAGCTCTGGCCGCAACGTCGTCATCGCTGCAGCCGCTGCCGTCGTCGTCGTCGTCGTCGGATCTAGGTTTTTGGAATTCTGTTGGCCCCTGAAAGGCTCCTGGGCGCTCTGGGGACCTCCGCGGACGCGTTGGCCGTTTCTGGGCCTCCGCGGGCCTCCGGGATGTTCGGGAGTTCTGGGTCTTTTTTGGACTGGGGGCCTCTGGGGGCCTCCACGGACGTCCTGGGGTCCGGATCCAGGGAGGCACCAAAATGACCCCGGAACACTCTGACCTAACATGGACGGCGTTTCGTTGTACTCGCCGCGGGGAGAAAAGACAAAGGACGACGAGGAGAGCAAGGAGGAGGACGGCCACGAGAGGGAGCGGGAGATGGAGGTGGCGGGGACGGTGATGCCCCCCTACAACATTCGCTCCCTTCTTCCGCTCGTCGTCGTCGTGGCTCGTCGTCGTCGCTCGTCGGCGTCGTCGTCGTCGCTGGTCGTCGTCGTGGTCGTCGTCGCTCGTCGTCGTCGTTTGTCGTCGTCGTCGTCGCTCGTCGTCGTCGTCGTCGTCGTGGCTCGTCGTCGTCGCTCGTCGGCGTCGTCGTCGTCGCTGGTCGTGGTCGTGGTCGTCGTCGCTCGTCGTCGTCGTCGTCGTGGCTCGTCGTCGTCGTCGTCGCTCGTCGTCGTCGTCGTCCCTCGTCGTCGTCGTGGTCGCTCGTCGTCGTCGTCGCTCGTCGTCGTCGCTCGTCGTCGTCGCTCGTCGTCGTCGTCGCTCGTCGTCGTCATCGTCGTCGCTCGTCGTCGTCGCTCGTCGTCGTCGTCGCTCGTCGTCGTCGTCGTCGCTCGTCGTCGTCGTCGTCGTCGTGGCTCGTCGTCGTCGTCGTCGTCGCTCGTCGTCGTCGTCGAGGCTCGTCGTCGCTCGTCGTCGTCGTCGTCGTCGCTCGTCGTCGTCGCTCGTCGTCGACGTCGTCGTCGTCGTCATCGTGGTCGTCGTCGCTGCTCGTCGTCGCTCGTCGTCGTCGCTCGTCGTCGTCGCTTGTCGTCGTCGTCGTCGCTCGTCGTCGTCGTCGTCGTGGCTGGTCGTCGTCGCTCGTCGTCGTCGTCGTCGCTCGTCGCTCGTCATCGCTCGTCGTCGTCGTGGTCGTCGTCGCTCGTCGTCGTCGTGGTCGCTCGTCGTCGTCGCTCGTCGTCGCGCTCGTCGTCGTCGTCGCTCGTCGTCGTCGTCGCTCGTCGTAGTCGTCGTCGTCGTCGTGGCTCGTCGTTCGCCGTCGTCGTCGCTCGTCGTCGTCGTCGAGGCTCGTCGTGGCTCGTCGTCGTCGTCGTCGCTCGTCGTCGTCGCTCGTCGTCGACGTCGTCGTCGTCGTCATCGCTGGTCGTGCTCATTGTCGTCGTCGTCCTCGTCGCTCGTCGTCATCGTCGCTGGTCGGCGTGGCTCGTCGTCGTCGTCGTCGTCGCTCGTCGTCGTCGTCGTCGCTCGTCGTCGTCGTCGCTCGTCGTCGTCGCTCGTCGTCGTCGTCGTCGCTCGTCGCTCGTCGTCGCTCGTGGTCGTCGTCATCGTCGCTCGTCGTCGTCGTGCGTCGGCGTCGCTCGTCGTCGTCGCTCGTCGTCGTCGCTCGTCGTCGTCGTCGCTCGTCGTCGTCGTCGTCGCTCGTCGTCGTCGTCGTGGCTCGTCGTCGTCGTCGTCGCTCGTCGTCGTCGTCGTCCCTCGTCGTCGTCGTGGTCGCTCGTCGTCGTCGTCGCTCGTCGTCGTCGCTCGTCGTCGTCGCTCGTCGTCGTCGTCGCTCGTCGTCGTCATCGTCGTCGCTCGTCGTCGTCGTCGTCGTGGCTCGTCGTCGTCGCCGTCGTCGTCGTCGCTCGTCGTCGTCGTCGAGGCTCGCGGTCGCTAGTCGTCGTCGTCGTCGAGGCTCGTCGTCGCTCGTCGTCGACGTCGTCGTCGTCGTCGTCATCGCTGGACGTGCTCATTGTCGTCGTCGTCCTCGTCGCTCGTCGTCGTCGTCGTCGCTGGTCGTCGTGGCTCGTCGTCGTCTTCGTCGTCGTCGTCGCTCGTCGTCGTCGTCGCTCGTCGTCGTCGTCGTCGCTCGTCGTCGTCGTCTCTGGTCGTCGTCGTCGTCGCTCGTCGTCGCTTGTCTTCGCTCGTCGTCGTCGTCGCTCGTCGTCGTTATTGTCGTCGCTCGTCGTCGTCGTCACTCGTCGTCGCTCGTCGTCGTCGTCGCTCGTCGTTGTCGTCGTCGTCGCTCGTCGTCGCTCGTCGTCGTCGTCGTCGTTATCGCTGGTCGTGCTCGTCGTCGTCGTCGTCGCTGGTCGTCGCCCGTCGTCGTCGCTCGTCGTCGCTCGTCGTCGCTCTTTGTCGTCGTCGTCGTCAGTCGTCGTCGTCGTCGTCGCTCGTCGTCGTCGTCGCTCGTCGTCGTCGTCGTCGTCGCTCGTCGTCGTCGTCGTCGCTCGTCGCTCGTCGTCGTCGTCGCTCGTCGTCGTCGTCGTCGCTCGTCGTCGACGTCGTCATCGCTGGTCGTGCTCGTCGTCGTCATCGTCGTCCTCGTCGTCGTCGCTGGTCGTGCCCGTCGTCGTGGCTCGTCGTCGCTCATTGTCGCACTTTGTCGTCGTCGTCGCTCGTCGTCGTCGTCTCTCGTCGTCGCTCGTCGTCGCTCTTTGTCGTCGTCGTCGCTCGTCATGGTCGTCGCTCGTCGTCGTCGTGAGCACCGGGAGGGGAGGCATCGCCCGGGAATCGGCGGTGCAGACGAGCTTGAGTGGACAGAGCACGCGAGAGGGCAAGGACCCTTCCGAGGGCCACTGCCACAGGAACGTGCCCACCGGTCGGAAGAAGTAGGTACCAACTAATCAGACTCGACTGTGCATCGCCGATGCATCGGCGATAGGCACCCGCCAGCGAATCCGAATTGTTACTGGTCGGGGTGGGCTGTCGGGCCCCCCTGGGCGATCCGTGGGCGATTGAGGGTCGATGCATCCCGCTGTGAGACTATCCCTCCTTTCCATTGCCCCTGATGGCAACAGCCCCTGATGGCAACACCGCTGGCCGCGCGACCGCTGCAGGAGAGCCCAGAATCAATCGACAAGTCGGATCGGAAGTCGACACGAGTCGGATCGGCGGAAATCGGCAGCCGAGTCGGGAAAAGTCGAATCGGCAGAAATCGATAGGCTAGCAAGCCTCCAATAAGAAATCGGAACCCAAATCGGAATCACAAATCGGATCGAATCGGAATCGGAATCGAAGTCGAATCGAATCGAATCGGAGGAATCGAAACGAGACCTGTCGCTGCCAGCCAAAAAACAATGCTGCCCACGCGATGCGTCCCCAAAGCGAGCGGGAACGCACGGGAGGGACGCGGGAGGCTCACGGGAGGGACACCCGCCCAGGGCACATGTAGCGAGGGAGCCAGCAAAAATCGGCAGCAAGAAGAATCCTCAAGGCAAACCTACGTAGGACAATTACATGGAACACGCATGGGATATACGCCGTCGAAAAAAACACACACACACACACCGTCTTCCTCTTGCTATTCCTCCTCCTCCTCCTCATCCTGCTGCGATTTTCCTCCCTCCTCCCCTCCTCCTCATCTTCCTTCCCGCTGGAGGCCGCCCAATTTGGGGTCGAAGTTGATGGGGTCGATGAATCGCCGCAGCATCGCCGACGCATTGCCGACGCGCCGGCGCTGCATAGGCGACGTCGGAGACGCATTGGCGAAATCGGCGGGGAGGAAGTCAGGCCCCACATCGAGCCGCATCGATGATGCATAGGCGATGCGGCGCGGTCCACCGACCCCATCTACTTCGACCCCATGTCTCGCCGTCGCTCGGACGTCCACTTCCCGCGCATTTTTCGGTTTCGTGCGTGTTTTTTTGTTGCTCGTTGATCGAGGATGGTCCTCGATGGTTCTCGCCGAGAGAAAATGCACACGTCCAAGCGATGCCAGGATGTGGGCGGCCTGAATCCTCGCAGGCCGAGGCGAGGACTTCCCCTCGGCACGGGCGTCGCGGGCGTGCCCCGACCCCATCCTGCTCGAGCGGCGGACGAGTGCCCGGTGCAGGCCGCGCCCTGCTCGGCCCGGGCTCGGCCCCGGACGTCCTCGCGGCGAGGAAACCTTTTGGCCATTTTCGGCCACTGAGGATCCGTACCAAGCCCAAGGGGCCGCGAAAAAACCAGAGCTCGAGCCAAGCAGTGTTTCTCTCGGTCTCGCTCTGCTTTCGACCTCCTCCGCTCGGCCGTTCCCTCTGCCTTCGCTGCAACATGAGGCCACGACGAAATCGGACGCCGTCGAGCTCGAGCCCCATCAGAAGGCGAAAAGCCGCCCCGCGGGAAGAAGGGGCCCAGACCTCTATCGGGGTCCACGCTGTCCAAAAAAGGAGGACAATGAGTATCGTTTAACCGATCCCCATCCCCAGCGGCGTGGCCCCGGGCCCCGCTGGCCGACTTACCCCCCCTAGATGGGGATACAGGTCGTTCTCTTCGGGTTTCGAGGGGTGCATCCCCAACTGGGGCTGTAATTTGGTGGGGATCTCGAAGGGGATGGAGATGGGGATGGGGATCGGTCAAACGATACGGCAGGTTCGTGTCGTGCCGACCCGAGCGTTGGTTTTTGACACCGCAGGGATCGTTCAACCATGAACGATCGGCCGCTGCCGCAACGTCCGATCGTCCAACATCGATCGATTCTGGGTCGCCGGCGGCGTTCGACCTTGAACGCCCGCGCTGGGGTCGCCGCTGGTCGACACGACGCAAACCTACCGTAGGCCTGGTTGGTGGGCGGCAAGGACAGCACGGCTCCGCAGGATTTCGGCATGCGCCCGTCTCGCTCCGCCACCGCGGGCTGCCAGTTCCACCCTCGCGTGCTCTCGGTGGGCCGTGCGAGACGACAGGCGTTCGTCAGGCTGCCAGAGGCCATGGTCAGGGCGCGGTCCCGCTGAGGCCACGGCGGACGCCCCTTGATCCTCGATTCTGAATCCCCTCTTCCCCCGCCCCTCCTCCTTGCTTCCCCCTTCTCAATCAGCCTTCTCACCTACCGTACCGAAAAACAGTCACGGCCGCGGCGGCCTGGGGCCGTGCCGAGCCGACGGCGCCGGCGACGGCGAGGCCACCTGCTCCACGGAGTGCTAATTTGGTGGGGATCTCGAAGGGGATGGAGATGGGGATGGGAATCGGTCAGACGACACCGAAAAACAGTCACGGCCGCGGCGGCCTCCGTGCCGAGCCGACGGCGCTGGCGACGGCGAGGCCACCTGCTCCGCGGAGTGCTGCGCGCGGCTCGCGGCGCGCCAGGGGCTGCCGCGCTCTCGCGCCGCCCCCCCCCCCCGAAGAGGAGGGGCCGGTTTCCCACTGCCACCACCATGATTGGGAGGAGGGAAGGAGGAGGAGGAGGAGAAGGAGGAGGAGGAGGTGGAGGAAGAGGAGGAGGGAGGAGGAGGAGGAGGAGGAGGAGGAGGAGGAGGAGGAGGAGGAGGAGGAGGAGGAGGGGAGGAGGAGGAGGAGGAGGAGGAGGAGGAGGAGGAGGAGGAGGAGGAGAGGAGGAAGGGGGAAGGAGGAGGAGGAGGAGGAAGGAGGAGGAGGAGGAGGAGAGGAGGAGGAGGGGAGGGGAGGAAGGGGGAGGGGGAGGGGGGAGGAGGAGAGGAGGAGGAGGAGGAGGAGGAGGAGGAGGAGGAGGAGGAGGAGGAGGAGCCCCTCCCCCTCCAACTGATGGTGGCGCCGGTGGAAGACATGCCCACCCGAGGAAGGGACAGCCCCTCGGCCCGCACGGCGCGGGGCGCGGAGGCGGGGTCGCCCTCGCGCCGCCGCGGCCTGGTGCCCGGCCAGGCGTGCACCCCCCGACCGTTTCTCTGCCGGCATGTCTGCGCAGTGCCGGGCGGGGCCTTCCCCGCGTCCACCGCCCCGGGAGGAGCTACCGAGCTGTTCGGCACAGCAATTGGAAGGAAATCATCAGGCGCGCTAGTTCAAAGTATCTAGACGCCTGAACTCGGTCTGCTATCAGCGCTGGGGCTGAACAACTATTCGTACTCTGCTAATGTTTTGGAGATGGTGATGGTTTTCTTGACTTAACTCGAGCTGCAGACGAGGTACAGAGCTGTTCGGCACAGCAATGGAAAGGAAATCATCAAACGCGCTAGTTTAAAGTATCTAGACGCCTGACCTCAGCGTCTAGCGCGCCCGGGCGCCACAGCGGGCGGTGGGAATGGATACACTCGCCGTCGCTCGGACGTCCATCTCCCGTGCACGGTTCGGTTTCGTGCGTGTTTTTTTTTTGTTCTCGATGGTCCAGGATCGTCCTCAGTGGTGTCCTCGCCGAGAAAACATGCACACGTCCGAGCGATGCCGAGTCTCTGCCGGCATGTCTGCGAAGTGCCCAGCGGGGCTTTCCCCGCGTCCACCGCCCCGGGAGCCGGCGCCCGGGCGCCGCAGCGGGCGGTGGGAATGGATACACTTGCCGTCGCTCGGACGTCCATCTCCCGTGCACTGCTCGGTTTCGTGCGTGTTTTTTTTCCTCGATGGTCCAGGATCGTCCTCGTGGCTTCTCGCCGAGAAAAAATGCACACGTCCAAGCGATGCCAAGTACAGTCATCGGCCTGACCTAAGGAACGATAAATAAGGAACGAAGCCCCTATTTTATCCCAAGGAATAACGCATAAGGAACGATAAATAACAAATAACGCATAAGGAACTGTAAATAACGCATGCAAGCCTAAGGAACGACCGAGCCCCTTCTGAAAAGTAAGTGTTCCTTATTCAAGCCGCTCACTGTACATGTTGGCCCCCGGGGGCCCAAAGATATCGATATCCACCGCCTGGGGAGGCGCCCGCGAAGGTCGGTCGACAGAGGAGGGGCAAAGCCCGGCCTCGGACGAGGTACCGGGTGGCATCAGGCACTCCAGGCTGCATCAGTAGAGGGCCACGTGCGAACCCTGTCCCTGCCCCCCACGATTTCCGAGGGGGAGGGTGGGGTTCGCTCCGGTCGGGAGCTCCCGAGCGGAGTGAACCCCTCCCTCCCCCTCGGAAATCGTGGGGGGCAGGGGCAGGGCTCGCACGTGGCCCCCTCTTCTCCGCGTCCACCGCCCGGGAGCTGGCGTCCTGGCGCCACAACGGGCGGTGGGAATGGCTACATGTAGGAAAGATATCGACATCCACCGCCCGGGGAGGCGCCCGCGAAGCTCGGATGAGGTACTGGGCGGCAGCAGGCACTGCAGACTGCACCAGGCTGCTGCAGGCTGCGCGCCTGCAGGCGCAGGGTCCGAGTGACAGGGGATATGTCGACCCCTATCCCGGGCTTCGTGGTGTTCTGGAGTGGACCAGAAATGTGGGGCCCGACCCTGGGATACAAGATGGAAGGACGTCCATCCTCGATAGGAGTGCATCCGAAGAGCCCCCTTGGGGTGTACCCCAGGGTTCCCCCCCTTGTATAAGCGGCCAATTTTTTCGGGTGGAACTCGGGGATTGGGGGAGAAAAATCGCCTGCGACCGAGGTCTTCGCGCGCAGGGCCACGCGATGCGGAGCAGGCTGCGGCCGTCAGCGCCGCTCGACCGAGCAAGCGGAGCCCGTCCGGGTGGAGCCCCGCCCGGCGGGTCGGCAACACGCCCTGCGCCCTCCGACCTGCCACGGCAGGCTCCTGCCTCGGCGGCGTGGGCCCCGGCTTCCGGCGCCGCGGGAACCGTTGAATACCCAACGAACTCCGCTCCAGTATTTGCTTCTTTCTTCCTCGCTCACGGGGGCCAGGTCCAAGGGGAGCACTGACCTCGCATCGACACGACTGGCAGCGAAGCATCTGAGCTGACCAGGGGATTGTTCCCTGCGGAGGCTTATCCTACGAGGCCGACGTTGTGATCTGCAAAAGAGGTACCCAAAGGCCGTCGACCCCAACTCTCGTATGGATCTCACACCGTGGGCCGTGGGAAGTCTTCTGTGGGCCCAAGGGTCTGGAACGAGCTCCGAAGGGTGTTCAACCTTGAACGCCTGCGCCGGCGTCGCCGCCACGTCGAAGCGGCGCGAAACTGCTTACACTGTCGCAAATAATTGGCGGCGCGCAGAGGGGGGTATGGGGGGGGGGGGAAGGCTATTTAGAAGGAGGCTGCTTCTTAAAGGCGCGGGCCTTCCATCTAGAAGTAAGGGCGGCGCCTTCCAAGAAGCAACCTCCTTCTAAGAAGCATTCCCCCCTCCCTCTACCCCCCTCGACGCGTGGCCGAAATAAGACGCAACATTACCCGAGGCGCACCCAACCCCTTCTCCACGCGAGGCAACTCTTTATATGAACGCTCCATGCAAAAGAAGACATCCAGCGCTCTGCGCCCTGTGACGTAACAGCGCCGCGCACTAAATGACGGGACGGCGCCACGCGCCATGGTGGCACGCGCCATGTGGGCGCCCTGCACTCAGCCGCGCCTCCCAGGAGACCACGAAAGCAACGACGGTTGCGAAGTTCGCAGCCACCGCGGGAGCCGCGGGGTCTCAAATGATGCGCATTGCCCTGCACTCCGCCGCGCTTCCAAGGAGCCCATATGGCGCGTGCCCGCATGTTGGAGGCCTGGAAATTGGCACCAACACCAGCACAAGGGGGTGCCTCCACAGGGGGAAGATGTTCCTGGAGTTCGGTGCTGGTGGTCATGTTTCGGCCACCTTGGAAGCCAGAATAAATTACCACCATCACCGAGATCGGGATCTTCTTCCCTCGGTGGAGGCACACCGCCGATATTGGTGTTGGTGTCGACCTCTAGGCCTGCGAGCATGGCGACGTGCCTCCCCGGAGCCCACGAAGAGCGGCGGCGGCTCCGCACTCCGCAGACCCCCCAAGGGGGCCGCGGGGCCTCGGCCGGATACGCGTGGCCCCCCCCTCCGCCGCGCCCTCCGGGGAGCCCGCGAGGGTGGCGACGGCTTCGCACTGCGCAGCTACCCAGGGAGCCGCGAGGAGGAGGAGGAGGAGGAGGAGGAGGAGGAGGAGGAGGAGGAGGAGGAGGAGGAGGAGGGGGAGGGGGAGGGGGAGGAGGGGGAGGGGAGGAGGAGGAGGAGGAGGAGGAGGAGAAGGAGGAGGAGGAGGAGGAGGAGGAGGGTGAGGAAGGACGGAACTGCAGCGCTCTGCTCAAAACCAGAACCCAACTCAGGAGGGTTGGGACAAAAGATCTGACAGGATCCCCCCCCGCGTCCCGGAACTCTTCTCGGTCGGAGCCGAGGCTACTCGAGATCCACTGGTTGAGGGTGCCCGACAGAATGGAGACCTGGGGGGTCAGACAGGAAGCGAACATGAGCGCTGGCAGCAAGGCACTGATGAGACGAAGAACAGAAAAAGGAAGAGGAGGAGGCCAGGAGTAGGATAGCGGAGAGAGGAAGCATGAGGAACAGAATGAGGAGCATACGAAGGCGGAGGGGCAGGGGAAGTGGGGATGTGGCGGGAAGGGGAAGCGAGAGGCAGGCCCCTCCAAACCACCCCCCGGTCCAATCCCACTCTCCGCACTTCCACTCGCCCCTCCCTCTCCCTCTCCCCTTTCCGCCGCCCACCTTCCGCCTTACCCTGTCGCTTTCAACCCCCCCCCCTCGTTACCCTGTCCACCTCTCCACTCACCCTGCTCTGTCGCCGACCGTGGGCCTGGCGACGCCGCCAGCGCCACGGTGGCCACATCGTGGCAGAACGACAGCCAGCCCCACCTCCTCCACGTGAAGCCCTGGTCTCAGGGCCAGCCGCCCAACCACCTCTTAAGGGCCCGCTCCAGGGTGATCTGGGCCTTTTGTTTACCCCCTCTCCCTCTGTCCATCTCCCCATGCCCCCGCCTTTGTCACAAAGACATACAGTCAAAAACCCGAATAAGGACGCGCGGTACGGACGCAAGACCCTTGGAAGCCCCAGTTGGGATTTTTGGGGCGGCGGACGACGAAAACCTCCAGGACGCAAGAGCAAGGAAGAGCAAGGACGCAGGGGTACCCTGAGCAGAGTCGCGCGTCCTTGTTAAGGTTTTTCGACTGTACCATCACACTTCCGAGATGCACCGTCGCTGGAAAACTACACCGTCGAGAGGGGGGGTAAATAAACAGCGACGACAACAGCCCTCGCCCGTGGCAATTCTCGAGCTGGGCCGATCCGCGAGGGCCCGGGAGCCAGCAACGGGGCCCCCGCAATGGGACCAAGCGGTTTAACAATCATTAACAGAGAAACTTGGCAAACACGATGTACAGTCGGGGCGTTGACCTAAGGAGCCCTAAATAAGGAACGAGGCCCCTTTTTTCCATAAGTTAACCTTCGAGTTCCTGTCGAAAACATAAGGAAAGCCTGAGGCAAGCTGTGAAACATTTAGGGAACGCGGAGCCCCTCCCCAACGACAAGGGTTCCTTATTCAGGGCCCCGACTGTACCAAACAGTTGTTTCTCGCCTGGGTCGCTGGCTGCGGTGACCTCGACGGCGGCGGCGGCGACGACGACGCGACGACCCAGAAACATGCGTTCAGTCATCCACTTGCCAGTGGGGCGCTGCGCTCCCTCCGGGGCACTTTCCATGAACAATGTTTGCACTCAGGCATTCTTCTCATTCTCTCAAGAGCTGGGCTTGCGGGCCGGGCTGGCGGTTATGTTGTCGCCGTCGCCGCCCCATCGTCGCCTGGTCGCCGCCCCTCGTCTGGGCATGCGGGCCGGGCTGGCGGCTATGTTGTCGCCTTCGCCGCCCCATCGCCGCCTGGTCGCTGCCCCTCGTCCGGGCATGCGGCCCGGGTTGGCTGATATGTTGTCGCCGACGCAACACCGTCGCCGTCCCGTCGCCGCCTCGTCGCTGTTCGTCGTCTGGGCCTCCATTGTGTCGCATCGCTTTGCATTGGCATTGGTTTGTTTTGTTTCGCATTGTTTGGTATTGTTTGGTGTTGCGCTGCATTTCTTCGCATTGTTTTGCATTGTTATGCGTTGCCGTTGCATTACTGCGTGTTGTCTTGCATTACTTCGCAAGTGTTCCCAATGTTTTACACATCGTTTCGCATTGTTTTTCATTGCGTCGCGTTGGTGTGCGTTGGTTTGTGTTCGATTGCGTTGAGTTGCGCCGCCTTGCGCTTTGCAATCGATTGCGCCATGTATGTTCACCACATATGGTAGACCGCGAACGCTGCACTGCACATGTTGCACCACATTGATTTCCTCTAGCGAAAGATTTGGATTTACCCCCTCTCCCCCCCCCCCCACCACACACACACACACCCGGACTTAACAGTTCCCTTGTTCGTGTTGCAATGCGCACTTGTTTCTGCCCCATGGTCCATCCTGAATATGAACTGTTACCATCCCAGGCAGGCCGCCGTCGCCAGTCCCTCTCCTCCTCCTGGATTATATACATATATATATACATGTGTTAAAATAAATAAAAGAATATTGCGGAGAGGGGCCGCGTGGCTTGACATTACGCGGGCATTTACGCAGGGTGCCGTTCTCAGGACGACTGTGCCCGTAGTTACTGGCAGGGCTACGACTCCTCAGGAGCGGCCGCGTGCCCTGACCATACGCGATTTTTACGCGGCGTTACGCAAGCATTAGCGCAGGGTTGTGCTCTCAGGACGATGCCTGTTCCTCTTTTATACAAGGGCAAGGACATATCTTCTGTCGTGCTGCCGCCCGGGGACGAAGTGCAGGTCCCATGGCGCTCACAAAAAATGTGATAGATCGCCTGGCGTGTCCCGCACCCAGCCTTGGTCGTAGAGGTCGTCCGTACACCCTCGACTGGCCTTATCCACCAGGTTGTCGTGGGTATTGACATACTTGACCCACAAATGCAGTCGTCGCCGGTGGACAATCTCCCACGTGGCGCGCATCACGTTGTTCAGATCTGCGTTCACGCTGTTGCCTTTGATCAGCGCGTGCATGGCGTCCGTATTGTCTATGAAGTGGATCCAGAGTCGATGCTCCAGGCCTGGCCACGCGGCTAAGGCAAGCAGTGGCCCCGCACCCTCGATTGGAGATATGGTGTTGGAGGCATGCTGCGAACACTTCGCCAGCACGTTCTCTGGGGCCCTCGTCGCAGTGATGCGGGGGCGTTCGGCTGGCTCTGCCGGTTGCCACATTGCCGCGGCGACGTTGCCCGAACCCTCCCCGTCGCTGATGGTGGCGACTAGGGGCAAGCAGGATATGTCGCACAGAACACGGCGCCGATTTTCATGGACGAGTGCTTCTTCGAGCCACCTGAACATGGCGAGCATGGCGCCGTTGACTCCGAAGAAGTTGCCGCTCCTCTGACGGGCTCGCAGCGGTGCCAGCACTGCTGCTCCACACCGGCCCCAGAGGCTCGAGCGCACCCAGTTGAACGAGCCGCGCAGCGTGGAGGCGTCTGCTGCTATCACCCCCCCTGTAGCTCGGCGGGCGCGGATCTGAGATAGCAGCTTGTCAATTTCGGCCTCGCAGAGCCAAACTGTCGCCTCAAGGCCCAACCGGTGCTCCACGCCAAGTAGGCGAAGGTGCTCGCTGGGTGGTTTGCTCTTGCTTTTGTCGCACCTCCAACCGATCAGGTCCATTATCTCCAACACGAGGGCATGGGAGTGCTTGGCGGCATGTTCCGGCTCGATGTCCCACATGTCATCAGAGTAATGGCAAAGCAAAATGCCCAAGCACACTCTCACGACATAACATATGAAATGTGGATGTTCGACGAAATTCGTCTGGCCAGCTTTGTTGCCGAAAGTCCCCCCCAGCGGCCGCGCCCACTGGACCCGCTCAAGTTGGGGATTCCACACCAATTCGTAATGGTATGGAGCACGTCCCGGCCATAGCGGGTCTTGCCGGAACGCCATCTCCCAGTCGTGCGGAAGCCTTGGAGGCGCACGTCGCTGGGGGGGGGTCTCTCTGAGGATGCGCACCACCGCGTGCGCCGATGAAAAATCCTCAGGAGAATACTTCTCGCACAGCGTGACGGCGTCGTTTCCCCCAGATGCTTTCCAATCAGAAATGTTACGGCACTCCCACGCGCCGTCCTCCTTGAGCTTCCACTTGGGCCACCGGGGAGTCAGGCATGTCCTATCCAGGTCAAGTTATGCAAGCTCGCCTGGCCCTTCGCAGTACCCCATCGAAAGCTCAGCTAGGGTTTGTTTTTTCCCCCACGCCTTCTGGTCGAGCGAACTGCCCCCCGAACTTCGCATGCCTCGGATCATGCGCTCGTTCCGCTCTCGCGGACACGCAATCCAATCTTCGATCGCAATCGCGCCCCTGTTGTGGTCCTCGCTGAACACGCCGCTCGGCGGGATTTCTCCCAGGCAAGGCTTGCCGCGCATCAGCCGGGCGACGTAATCGGTGACGCTGTACTTGGTGTGTTCCACCATCCATTCCAGGAGGTGTAACTGCAGGTGGCCGACTACCTTGTGGACGTCGGGGTGTAGCTTTTCGGCATACTGCTCTCTGATGCATGTCAGGCGCCGAGCAGCATCGCGGACGGGCTGCATCTGCGTCTCTCGCCAGCTGTGTAAATGATCCAGGTGGTCCAACATACTGTTGGCGGCCTGCATCCACGCGGCAGGCATTGGCGGGGAAGCAACAGCCGGGTGCTGCAGACGAGGCAATTGTTCGAGGAACGCCTCGGACCCGCATCCTTGCTGGATAAGCGGCTCGAAGCATCTGCCACGTGGCTGCTCGCCAAGCGCCAGCGCGCGCCCGATCCGGGCCCTCAGTCGGCGCCCGCTGGGCTGCTCAATGACGCCTGCCTGTGGGCTGTCGCTGACCGTTCCTTGCAAGAGGGCCCCGGCACTTTGGGCGGAATGCTTCCGGCCTGGGTGATCACCAAGGCTGTCATTAGACTCCCCGCGTGGGCTGGGCAAGTCTGGCCCGCCCGCCGCGGCCCCATTGTAATGTTCGGGGCCGGGCTCCGCAGTTCACTGCGGGCCCGCGCGGTGGTTCTTGGCCCTGCAGCGTTTGGCGCCGCACCCAGGGCAATCACACTCGCGTGAGTCTGGGCACGCCGCGCCCTTCCGGCAGCCCGCGGCCTTGTTGTAGAACGGGCACTGGGGCTGCCCAGTCTTCTTGTTCGCACGCTCCAGTCCCAGCCAGTTCTCCTTGGTGAAGGCAGGGGGCTGGCTCGCCCTGGCGGCGCCGCCTGGCTTTGAAGCCTTGCGCGGCTGCTCGTCTCGGGGAGTCTGGGCGCCCTGGCCGCGGCTGCGGGCGCGCCCTCGCGGTTGCGACTCGCTCCTGGGCCGCTTCCTGTCCCCGGCGTCTGAGAACAGGTAGGCGCTCTGGCCGCGGTGGTGGGCAATCACGTCCTTGAAAGTCG